AGTATTTAGGTGTAGTAAAATTGTGAACTAATCTTTACAAGGCTTTAAGTTAAAAAATTAAATAGATCTACGTTAAAAAGGTTATATTAAAATGAGTTTAAAATTTAAAATATGAAAATAAGAGATACAAAATATAATAAGTAGAGGATGCAATTTATAAAATGTAAAAATTCATAGCCCAGACATGTCATGTTTCCCAAATGAGGGGGCATATGCTCTCAATTACATGTGGCTCCACCAATGTACATACATGTGTATAAATTTAAACGTTTTTAATTATTTCTCACAATTTAAATTTTAAAACAACTTTATAAGAGTAATACTCCCTTCTGTTCATATTATATGAGCACTTTTTAAAAATATTTTTTAGTCCTTAATATGAGAGTATGAAGGGTTTTTTATTATCAGTTTTTATTTTATTTTTATTGTAAATTTAATTTGTGGCTCATTGTATACAATATACTCTCCTTGGTTCAAAATATAAGCACTTTTAGACCATAATTCATATACTAATAAAATTTTTATTGTCATGAAAATATATATTATTTTCTATTTTTGTTCTTAGTTTCAATTTATGATGAGTTAGAATAAGATTATAAATTTACAGACACAAAAATTTAGGTTAATCAATATAAGGAGTAAAATGAAAAAAAAATTACGAGTACTGAGATACTTATATATTGGACCATGATTAGCTAGAGAGAAAAATACTTCCTTCTTAAAAAATGTAAGATATTTTTTGAGGAGTTGAATGTTAAAAAATATAAGCCATTCTAAGTCTTTTAAAATATAATTATTATCTTTTTTTAAAAAAAGTAGTCCTATTGAATATGTTACTTTATATTTTTTTGAGTGAAACACTTTGTTAAATAGAACTAAATATGAAAAGATAAGGTTAATTTAAAGATAAGTAACTATTTTATTGGGAGTGATATTGGGTTAAAAATGTCTTATATGTTTTAATAGAGGAAGTACTTATATTTTGGACAAAGAGAGTATCTCTCTATTCATATTTTTTAACAAGGATAAAGTACCAAAAAAAATTCACTTTAAGACATAATTAATGAGTTAATTATCATTTTTTAATTTAGGTGAAATAGTTGCAAACACCATATAATAGAGATAAAGAGGACTAGGTAAGATCCATATTAAATGTTAAATAGGTACAAAAACAAAATATTTTAAAACTTTTAGAATTGTATTGAATGAAATCATACATACATACATACATACATACATACATACATATATATATATATAATATTAAGGGGAACATTTCGTATATGTCGATCCCATGGAAATAACTTATTTAAAAATAAATCATGAGAAATTCATAAACTATATCCAATGATTTTAGGATCTGTAATTTGTGATTCGTGTGAAAAGACTTATCTAACCTTAAAAATCAAATTATGCCTTAAGAAAAGAACTTGATTTCCTGCGAGCATGTGTCACTCAAATTAAAGACTTAAATATTGTCTAGAGCATGAGAACTGGGGGAGCAGAGGTGACTTGCTTGGGAGACAAATCAAACAAGCGTGACAAATTGACTGTGAACTTGCAAAAGCTTCCTTTGCCAGTGACGAAGCACAATTGCATGGGAACCTACAAGAGGTGAAGGTGAGACTTGCGAGGGACGAAATATGTTGTCTTGCCTCTTTTCATTTGGTGTTTAGTGTTGATAAAGTTAACCGGTAATCAAATTAGATATTGATGAACAAGGAAGATAAGTACTTGAAAACAACTCAAATGGTGTCATTGTTGCCTTCATTGCTGACCTCTGTCTATCACTTGCTTTGTCTTCATTCATCTTCCTCTAGTGATTTCATGTTGACGTTCGTCTTCCTCGGTTCGCAAGGTCCGTGGATTGCGTTGTCTTCTCTAGGTTACATGTCAATCTTAATCTTCTTTCGATTAGGCATCGATCTTCATCTCCTTCTTCAGGTTGGGTGTCATTCTTTTAGGACGAAGAGCAAAGGTAGTCGGATAGTTTCTTAGGTTAGCCAGGAACAGTTTTGTTTTTTGTAGGATACAATTTGATTTAAGAGGTTGTGGCGTCTTTTCACACTAACTTTAAATTACACACAAATTTTAAAAAACTTATTTTTAAATAATGTGTTTTCATGAGGCTTATAGGTAATTTTTCCTATATTAATTGTAAAAAAACATATAAATGGTGTGTGAAAATTTATATAAAAATCCAAGTTGATATAGTCTTCTAACTCTATGGGCTTTTATGTTTGTGTTGCCAGTTTACTTTATAATAAAATTGACTTTTTATAAAAAAAATGATATACATATTAAATTTATAAAAATACGTTTTATATTTATTCAAATGTTCGATTTCTCTTCAACAAATGTTTAATTTTTATAACTAAGTTCAAGAAATTTATTTTTTTAAAGAGGAGAGATACTCCTTCCGTTAAAATATGTAAAGCATTTTTAATTAAATTACACTTCTCAATAAAATAGTTACTAACTTTTTAATTAACCTAATCTTTTTATATTTACTCTTATTAAACATTCTATAATAAATATAAAGCCATTATCAATATAGTCACTTTTAAAAAAAGAACACAATAATTACATATCGAAAAACTAAAAATGTCTTATATTTTTAAACATTTAACTTTTTAAAAAATACATTATATTTTTGAACGGAAGGAGTATATATTCAATTTTTATCATTAAATTTAATACTTGGTCCGATGTGTCTGAATGGCTCTAGCAAGGCTGGGACAATCAAATTCTCTGGTAATGTAAACCATCCTAATATATATATATTTTTAGAGCTGATAATTTGGGTCGAGCTGGACGGACTAGCCCGAACCCGCCCAAAAAAAATTAAGATCGAGCTTAGAAAAAATTTACTTTTTTTTATGTTCGGGCTTATTCGAGGTGAGAAAATTTGAGCCAAGCCCGATCGGGTTCGAGCTTGGCCCAAATACCCGAATAATTTTTTTATTTTTTAAAATATATTAAATATGATAAATATTAATTAATTAATTAAGTTTTGGGTTATTTTATACTAAAATACTATATATTTGAGTCCTATATATTATTTAAGTATTAAAAAAATATATTTTATATTTTTTATAAAATAAAATAATTAATTTTAAAGTGAAAAAATTAATTAAAAATGATTTAAAAATAAAAATTTGGTATTCGAGCAGCTCGAAAATCCGAAGAAATTCGGGCCGAGCTTATCTATTCGGGCTTTTTAGGAAGTTGGGCATGTTCGGGCCGGGCTCGAATAGGTCCGACTTGCCCGAATTTTCAGCTTTACATGTTCCATAGTAGCTATTTAAAAAAAAAAACTTTGTTGTAAGTTATAACCAAGGTACGTAAAATCGGATCGGTCATTAAACCGGTCATAGCACTGGGTTACGGATTAGTGGTTCAATCAGGGTTGAACTGGGGGTTGAACCGGTGGCAAACCGGTCATGATTAAAATAATACAATTTAAATAAAAAGATATTAATTATAAAAATATTCAACGAAATCCAACCACTCAAAAATTTAACAATAATAAAATACTATATTTTTGAATTTAACATGCTCTATCTCTAATTTTTCATTTTTTAACTTCAATTTCACTTTTTTTGTTATTTTATTTTTGAACTCAGAGCTTTGAAAAATTAAAAATAAAAAAAAATAAAAAATATGTCATTTTGGGGGTAAAAGTTTGAAAAAATAATAACCCGGTTAACTCGATCAACCTACCAAGTTATTCGGGTTATATCGGGTTGAACCTGGGTTGATCGGGTTACACTGATTCACTCCCTCACCGAGTAAAGAGTAAATTCAGACCGGATAAAAAATTGGATCATCGATTTTTGAGTTGAATCGATCGATCTGATCCGATTTTTAATATCATGGTTGTAACCATCTATCACATTATTATTGGATAAAAAATTTGTCACTTGTAACCATCTATACAGATATTCTTGGATCCGCGGGCGACTCGTGCATTAAATTTAAAGCAAATTATTATTAGGCCAAAAAAAGAAAATGGAGGGTCCCAGTTCAACACGTTCTTTTGAGTTTTGTCCTTTTTCGATGAAAATCTGTTGCCTAAGTCGCTGATCTCCAATCAAATCTTTCCGTCCAGGGGGACAGCTGGCAGGCCCCACATCAGTTCCGTTCTCTCTTGCTCTCTCTCACAGCCCACACACACCGTCCCCCAGTATTGGTCAGATCTGTGCCTCAGAATTGCCAGATGATTCTCGATAATAAAAACCAAAATCTTGATTACAAAGTAATTCAAATTACTAAATAACTAAAATGCCCCTCAGAGTTTCAAAAAAGGTGTCCTCTAACTTTTTTAGCCAATGTTTCATTTTTTTATAAAAACGTAATAATTGTTTCATTTCCATTCACTTTTTTTTGTTTTTTTAAAACATCACTTTTAATCTTTACACTTTATTTAAATTTAAATATAAATATTTATATTTTATTTTTAATATTTTAAATTTTTAATTTTTTTATTTATAATATTAGTATTTACATTTTTTAAGAAATATTAATATGATACAAACATTATTAATGATGCCGACATATTAATTAACATATTAATTTTATATTTGCTAACATGAAATTTTCAAAAAGTAAAAATTTATAAAAGCTTACATTTTGCTGATTATTTAAATGATTTATGTAAATTTTTTTATTTTATCTGATATAAGTATTTTTTAATTTTTTATTAAAAATTTCACATCAACATTAATTTCACATGTAAATATAAATTAATAATGTTAATTAATAAGTTAGTATTATCAACATTTTTTTAAAATATAAAAATTAATGTTATAAATGAAAAAAATAACGATTTAAAATATTAAAAATAAAGTATAAAGATTTATATTAAAATTTAAGCAAAATACGGTGATAAAAAATAATGTTTTTTATTTTGAAAAAAAACCTTTCTTCCCCACTCAAAAATCGTCTCACTAAATTTAAGTCGCAACTCAAATAAAAAACAGTATTAAAATCTCATCGAACGTTTCCCATGAGGTTCTTATAGGAAATCTATAATCTTCCTTCAACGCTCATCTCACGCCGGTCCGGCCGTCTCCATTCTGGCTTCATAAATCGTTCACATGGTTCAGCAGCCTCTCAAATTCACACTACTCACTCGCTTTCACGCATCCCATACACCCTCACCAACCTTGTGGTCCCATCTCTTTCACCGGTACTCTCCTTTCCTTTTCTGGTCTCGTTAGTTCACACACGCGCATACACTCACTAGGAGTAACCTAGGCTTTGTTTTTACCATCTTTCTAGGGTTCTGGATTCTCCGGCGGTTTCTTCTTAGGCAAATCGCTAGCATTTCAGGTACTATTCCTTCCTCATTCCTCTTCTTTTCCCCTGTCTTCGAACCGATCGGGATGGAGCCGTTTCCCTCTAGCATTTATTTATTTTCTGTCTGGTGTTTTTGTGACATTGGTCAGCGATCTTTCAATTTTATTAAATGCGAACTTCTTTATCATGAGTCTTTGATAGTTTAATATTTGGTATTTGGGGCTTCTGGTGTGAAGAGAGTTGAAAAAGAAGAGAAGGAGGTGGGGGGCCCGGACCAATATTTTATTGGGAGAATCACTCTAGTGAGTTCTAATCGACGCAATTAAAATCATTCTCCTAAGCTCAATGGACGCAAGAGTAATTAATTGTGATGAGTCACACTTGTATGTAATTATTCCTATTTTATTTCCCACTTCACTAATTCATCCAATTTAATTAAGGACATGAAGTCCAAATCAATGAATTGACCGGCATGTGCAGCTGATGAATTATCACAGCCCAACTAATTAAAATTACATTTTGAGGATTTGTTCGACCAACGCTACCAAATCATTATCAGAAATACATCTCATGTGTGATATTATTAATTACTTGGATGAGATGGGTATGGCGTTTGGGTTGCAGAATCATTTATATAATTCGTCTACCTATCTCTTCCCGTTTAGTTGAAAGCAGTATTGCAGGGCTGTCTATTCACGTCCACGTAGTTCGAATTTAATGCTGTGATTTGTCACTAGCAAAGCATCATGTGGCCACCATTTCTACAGCTTTCCTGTTGCAGGGGCATTCGAGGGATGGACATGAGTTGGTTTGGTTCAATGATGGAAAACACGAAAAAATAAAACGGTGATCGTACCTAAATAATTTTTTTTTGTCTGATTTGATTTGTTTGGTGGCCCGGGATCAGTTGAATATAAGTTTTTTTGACTTTTCTTAATTAACTATTGTAAATTTCACATAAATCTAAATTGAAATATCTGTTAATCTAGACAAATTATGAATTTAATACTATAAATTTTAGAACATATCGACCAACTTAAAACAAAAGACATGACTCATGATACATGCCAAATCTCCGACCATGTAGCATGTCCTTGTTTACTGTATGATACCAAAACAATAGGTGGCAGATTCTGATAAAACGCTGTTTCTTCTATAAGCAGGCCAATTCCCTCATTTTGTCTCTCTCTTATGTGAATTTTTTTTTGGTCTGATTTGATTTGTTTGGTTGGCCGGGATCAGTTGAATATAAGTTTTTTTGACTTTTCTTAATTAACTATTGTAAATTTCACATAAATCTAAATTGAAGTATCTATTAATCTAGACACGTTATGAATTTAATACTATAAATTTTAGAACATGTCGACGAACTTAAAACAAAAGTCATGACTCATGATACATGCCAAATCTCCGACCGTGTAGCATGTCCTTTTTTACTGTATGATTACCAAAACAATAGGTGGCAGATTCTGATTAAACGCTGTTTCTTCTATAAGCAGGCCCATTCACTTATTTTGTCTCTCTTACTTTCTACTTTATTCTTAATATTCAGTCACTCGCTACAAAGGAAACAATCATTCAATCAAAATTCGAACCAAACCAACTCAAATAGCTTTTAGAAACTTCCTTTGTGGTGTTGAGACCTTTTATTACGCATGATTCTTCCTCATGTTCTTTCATTCTCCTTTTGACACGTTACTCCCTGCTTTTTTAGCATCCTGCCCCTCCTACACCTGTTTATAGCCCCTTTCCCCCTAAAGGAGGGTAAAGAAGACAATCGAGGGGACACGAACCCTGTCCCCCAATAAACCGGCCTAAAACTGAACCGGGTAGATTAAAATAGTTAAAAAGATTAGATGACATGCAGTTTGGTTAGCTACAGCATGCTATTATCTCCATTAACTTAACAAACATGTGGTTAATATATAAAAGACATGAGGTTAATCTGTCATTGTATATGATATTATTATCACTGGAAGGAATTCTTATTAGTTGCCAAGTGGAAGACAGCTAGGCTTAATTGTTATTAGAGGGGCCTGCAACAAACCAATAATACAGCATTAATAGAAAGAAACAGCGGACGTTAAGGAAATTGTTCCAGTGAAGGATTTTTTTTTTTTGTCAGATGAAAGAATTGAAACATGGTTTCATCTGATGATCCTGCTGATTGATTGCATGAAATGTTACCGGAACATCATGTGAACGCGGTTTATGTGAATGCGTCTCGAGGAATCGCCCATGATCTATGACAATTATATATATATATATATATATATTAAAACTCAACCACGTGATTCCATAAGTGGAATGTGCATATATATATATATATATATATATTTTAACTTAAGAACCTATTAATTATAATTAACATCGGATCACAAGAAAGAAAACACATGGCTTATTTTATTTAATTCTACTGTTGGGATATAGTCCAAATAATGTGGCCGGAGGTAAACTTTATGAATGCAGCAGATCCCCACCTAACTCCATACGCTGCATCTTCTATTGCCACTATATATATCTCCTTCCCATCTCCTCGTCTGCCACGCTCTCGTCTATCTCTCATTCGCTAAATTCATTTTCAAAGCTGCCGTGCTGCTTGGCTTCCAAGGATTTGGCCATTCGTCTTCAAGATTACATTATCAGAAGCTTATTAGTGGTAAGCCATCCTTGAGATTTAGAAACTACTGCTTCTTTCTTCTCTTCTCCCTCCCTGTCTCCCTCTATCGAATCTGAAAGTTTCTTGCATTAAAGTACGGAATGTGAAAACTGGAGCATGCTTCCTTGTATGCATCCACACACTGATACACTCATAAATATGAATTGGGGCTCTGAACGTGAAGCAGATCATGGGTGTGCATCTTTGTATTACCTTGCATCTATGTAGTATTGCATTCTCTTTGGACGAAAATACTTTTGGATTAAGTGATTGTTGTCTACAAATGGATGAAATCCGGGAGAGGAATAAAGAAATTATCAACTTGAAATTAGTACTTAGGAAGTAAGCATATGTGATTCTTTTGGGGATCAAATACTTGTCATTTGTCATGGTATAATGAGTGAACTTCTGATAAATTCTGAAGTTGAGTTTCATATTGAAAACTCACATCACTGGTATTGTTCCCAATTTCGGTCTGATTCACTTTGTATGGCTACTGTGGTTTGTAAGGAAGAGGCTTTTTCTGGCTCTCTTCACGTGATTGTACGTCGGTCGGATCCCCCTTGTCCTCACTCCTCATCCAACGAAATACGGCGCCATTTATATAATATCCTCTACTCTAGTTGTTTTCGTAGTTTTCTTTCTTTTTTTTTTTAATAACAGTTGTTTTCGTAGTTTTAATATAGCACCCAATAGTGTTTTTGGACAATGGGGTTAAGATTCAAATTAGTATTTTTTTCCTAAAGAATCTGGGCCCATTTAAAAAAAAGGTGATTTTTGGATAGTTTAAAAATTTGATAAAGGGGTTTATTTTTTAGACATTTTATAAAAAGAAGATATTATTTTGTTTAGTGACAATAATAAAAATTATTATTATTTTGTTCTTTTTGGACTTTATAATATTTTTGTAGATATCTATTTATAAAAGATATTATTTAATTATTTTAAAATTTTATAATACATTCACGTATCTCTACATTTTTAATGACATTATCTTATTTATTATATTTTTAGAAGCTATTCAAAATGGTTTCTCAAAATAATTATAAATATTTTTTTAAGACTTATTATTTTTTAAAAATTTAAACAAATATTATAAAATTTTATAAAGTAGATTTTTATCTAAAAAATAAGTGATTTTGTTATGAAAAGAACTTAAACAAACGGGGTCAATACTGTGTTGGGGACTTGCAGATTAAGTATTTGAAATTTAATTCTACATTCTTTGAGTTTCTCACGGTAACTATGCATAAATACTTTTTTTTTTTTGGAAAACAACATTCATTTTTTGTTCTTTTTTTTTTGGCTTAAAAATCATATCATGAACATATTTTAAATTTTTATTTCATTTTGTTATACATCAGGATGAATACTAAAAATAAAAAAATAAGCTAAGATACATGTTGGTGTCATCTGAAAAAGTTGACCGCAAAGGTTTTTTTCCTAGGTCCGTCGCTTCCCAAAAAAATAAATAAAGTTGTTCTCTATTTATTTAAGCCATTTATGCATGGTTTATATTTCACATTTTTTTTTTCGATTTATAAAATCTCAAATTCATAATAATTTGATTTAATTTTAATTTATACCCATGCAAAAATATAGTAATATAATTAGAATTGTTTTCGCCATAGTTCGCTCCATTGAATTTTTTTTTTTAATGGTATGACGCTCTGTTGAATAATGAGAATTGAGAGCCATTACCTCGATTGATTTAATGACTAGTTCTACTTGTGTGTAGACACTTCATTAGGAGAAACCGTTTTCTTCTAATTTATTCTTCTCAACAATGACAAGCATGAATCAAAAGCCCGAATTGATTTCTTGCCGTTCTATGTTCAGACAGGAGTGCCCTTGAGCAAGACACAGGAAGGAAAATGGAAAAGGCTCTATTAGAGAAAACCACAGAGGTGGAAAATGAAGAGGACCTACACATAACATGGCGTATGTTTTCTCAAGAAGTGAAAGCGGTTTGTTCTGTAGCGGGGCCTATGGTGGCTGTGAATGCTTCAACCTTCTTTCTGCAAACCATCGCTCTGATGATGGTGGGTCACTTGGGTAAACTTGCTCAATCTAGCACTGGTATTGCCATCTCTCTGTGTGCTGTCACAGGCTTCAGCGTCATCGTAAGTCACTTACTGTTTTACAAGTATAGAATTCTTCAAATTAACGGCTTCATCTTGAATTGTGGAGTTTAATACTTTTGTTTAATAACTAATAATTGCATTTTGTATCTTGTGTTTTGCACTTCCCCAACAGTTTGGAATGGCTACTGCACTTGAAACACTATGTGGGCAAGCCTATGGAGCTAAGCAATATAAGAAGTTTGGTGTTCAAATATACACTGGCATCTTCTGTCTCATTTTATGTTGTCTTCCTCTTTGTGTGTTGTGGTTCAACTTGGGGAAGCTGTTGGTTTTGCTTGGTCAAGACCCTTTAATTTCATATGAAGCTGGCAAATTTGCAGTTTGCTTGATTCCAGCTCTCTTTGGTTACGCAATACTTCAAGCCCTGGTTCGATACTATCTTATGCAGAGTTTGATCATTCCTCTTCTACTCTCTTCCTCATTTACTATTTGCTTCCACATAGCTTGTTGTTGGGTACTAGTTTTTAAATCTAGTTTGGGTCGTTATGGAGGAGCATTTTCCATCGGTGTTTCATACTGGTTGAACGTGATCTTACTTGCATCATATATGAGATTTTCTGATTCTTGTGCAATGACTCGGGCTCCAATTTCCATGGAGCTTTTCCAAGGCATTGGAGAGTTCTTTCGCTTCGCTATTCCTTCATCTATAATGGCTTGGTATTCTTCTTTCCCACATAATAATATGGCTTCCTATACATTTTATATTATATCATGAATGGTGTGATATATCGATATTGATGTTGATGATCAAATATTTCAGCCTCCAATGGTGGTCATATGAGTTGACGACATTACTTGCTGGTCTTCTACCGAACCCACAGCTTGAAACTTCAATCTTAGCCGTCTGGTATGTTTTCCCCCCATAAATTCTTCAATTTCCATAATCTAAATCAAAAGTTCAGCATGTAATCAAATACTGATCTAATGTTGTAAATTCCCTATACCTATTTTCATGTTTATGGTCATTATATCAACCCCTAAAATAATACATTGCTAACTAATTCTCTGTACAAATTTGAATTGTGTCCAGCGTATCAATGAACGTTACAATCTATTCAATACCAGAATCAATTGGCTCAGCGGCCAGGTTTGTATTGCTTGACATCCATCAATGCATTCACATGTTTTCATTCATAGCTCCAATAATGTGAAACTAAGCCGCATTGTTCATGCTTAAAAATAGTGTGATTTCTTAGATTCTTAATTAATCAATTCGTTCTCATTGGCTGCTCTTGTGGTTGGTTTTATTCAGCACAAGAGTTTCTAATGCATTAGGAGCTGGACGTCCACAAGCAGCACGACTGTCTGCCTTATGTTCTAGGATTCTAGCAACTTGTGAGGCTCTTATAGTGAGCTCAGTTGTTTTTGCAAGTCGGAATGTTTTAGGCCATGTTTTTAGCAATGAACCGGATGTGTTGGAATATGTCACAAAAATAGCTCCTCTGCTAGTTCTGTCTGTCTTTGTAGACTCCTTGCAAGGTACCCTTACAGGTAAAATCTTTCATTCCAACATTATTCAAAACAAAAATTTTCTCCCATCGTGTTCAAGCCTACATTTTTTGCATGCCATGTAATCTAATCTTTCTCCAAAATAGGGATTGCTAGGGGAAGTGGGTGGCAGCACATCGGGGCATATGTGAATTTCGGAACTTATTATATTGTTGGCATTCCACTTGCTGCAATATTGGGTTTCTGGATAGGCATGGGAGGAAAAGGCCTTTGGCTTGGAATAACAACGGGTACACTCTGCCAAGTGATTGTGCTATTGATCATAATAAGTTGTACAGATTGGACGAAGGAGGTTTGTTCTTCACTTTCAAGAATACCATGTCAATTCATTTTGAAATTTGATGCCTGATCTTTTACTTTTGAACAATGTTCTCATTACTGGAGAGTTTGAATTTGCAGGCAAGACGAGCTAGGGAGAGGGCGTTGCAGAGAGCTTTAGCAGAAGAAAATGTTTTGGTTTGACCAATCAGGGTGTATTATTATTTTGGCTAAAAAAAAAAAATCAGAGTGTATTATTATTATTATTTTTATTTTTTTTTTGGGGTAAAAAGAGTGTATCATTTATTTGTTGTGCCAGCTATTGGGTAAAAGTCAGATATATGATGGTAATAATGAAGATGGCGGGATAACACTTTTACATCAGCAATTCCGATACTCTCCATTATGGCCTGGTGTCGTTTAATTTCCTTTTGTATGATAGTGATTTTTGGCTTGAAAACGTTTGTTAGGCACGCAAAACCGAATTCTTACCTTTTCTCTCTTACGTTGGATGGATGTTGGGTATCTAGGAATTAAGAAAGGAAGGAAGAAGTTAAAGAGGTTAAATGAGCCAAATGCATCTTATTAAAATTGAATTTTCAAAATTATCTGTACTATTTGAATATAAAATAGAAGACTAATAATTTTAAGAAAAAAAAATATACAGATGTACATATAAAGTATTAAAAATATTGACAATATCATTTTCAGTTTGAAGTTGTTAAGTCATAATATGTTAGGTTTTGATTTTTTTAATTTTTCATTTGTATATTTTTTATTTATTTTATTTTATTAAAACAAATGATTTTTTAATTTTTTTACAGTTTAATTTATAATGAAAATAAAAAAAATCACCCACTCAATTTTACTGTAACAATCTAAAAGGAAGTTGATATTAATATTTTTAAATTGAATAAAATTTTTTATTATTAAAATAAGAGTAAAAAGAAAAAAATGGTTGCATAAAAAAGAAAATAAAAGAAGAGAGTGGTTCGCAAGAGTCTAATCGTCCCTGATTTTAGGTTAATTTCAGTTCTATTGAAATCGCTCGGTTTAAAATGGGTTAATGAGTTTAACTAAGCTGTTTTTATAGTTAGGCGGTGCTATTTGTGTTTTAGAACATTATTGGGTAAAATGTGTATTATATAAATTTAAAAAATTAAAATCAAGCAAAGACAATAATCAAAGCATTTTATAACTTATTGGCCAAGCATATTTTGTTGTGATAAAATTTTCTATAGAAGAAGTGTCAATTCTTTTTCCTCTTTCTTAAAATCTTATTTATACATATCAAACATGACTTTGTAGCACCATGGGAGTGAATTTGAATTTTACTAGTAGAATGACACTTAAATTCAAAGGGGACCATTTTGTCTCACAAAAGTCCCAACAAATGTCAAAAGAGAAAAAATTTACATACTTAATCTTATATACTTTTTTTTACCCCCTTAATCTTATATATTTAAGGTACTTGTTTTCAATTAAAATTTTATTAATATTATGAACACATTAAAATTTACTTATCTTGAATTGATTGGATAAAAATATATTAAATATATAAGGTTAGTTATGTAAGTCTTGTCCATTTCAAATTTAAATAAAAGAATGTAACATTTCAGACAAAGCGAATAGAAGGGTTGAGAAACTGTGAAAATAAACTATAAGAAAAAAGAAAAATTGATTAAAGTATAGGGTCTTGAAGTGGTATTTTCCCTTTAATAAATCATGTACGTTTGGTAGAACTTTTAAACCCAATTGTTCCAATTCTGTTCCCCTTGTCTCTTCCTCTCACTACTACATAAACAAGTTTTGGTGGCATTTAAATTTTAATTTTACAATGTTTATAAATTTATATGAATAGGTAGATAAGAGGTGGAAAAAAATATAAAAAAGAACTTGTTATTAATGTGAGAAAATAAAAAACAGAACTTGTTATTGCTGTACTCATACAAGCAACCTCAGTCAGATAAGACAACAAGAGTGATTTCAACAATTAGAGAGTAGACAACTCGCAGGTTGCAAGATAGAAGAGCAAGTGGTTAGAGGGAGAGAATGATCAAGATAATGAGATTAGAGTTTAAAAATTTTAAGAAGAGTCACAATACATAATGAAAAAACTCTCCAATTTTAAAAAATAGCAACAGTGGAATACCAACTCTCTAATTTTTTGAATTAAATTAATTAATAACAAATTTAATTTTGAAGAGAGAAGTGACATTTCCATTACTTGAAAATGCCACCGCTCTATTTAATAAATAATATTTAATAATTATATATTTAAAAATAATGTTAATTAATAGAGAATTTAATTTTTCATCACCTAAAAATGCCACCTCTTTCATTTAAATAATTTTTTAATATTTAATATTTAATAATTATATATTTTTAAAAAGAACATAACGCCACCTTTCTCATTTAAAGAGTTTTTTAAATATTTAATATTTAATAAATAGTATTAATTAATAATATACTTTAAAAATAATGCTAATTAATAAAAAATTAATTTACAAGAGAGAGTTGGCAGCATCTAAAAACACCACCTCTTTCATTTAATTTTTTATTATTTAATATTTAATAAACAGTATTTAATAATTCTATATTTTAAAAAATTAATTTATCGAGGTGGCGTTTCTATCATATGGAAATGCCATTTTTAATATTTAATAAATAAAATTTTAATAATTATATATTTAAAATAATATTAATTAGTAAAAAAAATTAATTTAGAAGAGAGAGGTGGCATTTTCATCATATTTCTTCTGTTAAAAAATGTAAAGCATTTTTAATCGAATCTCACCTCTAATAAAGTATTACTTACTTTCAAACTAAACTTTTTTTTTTATATTTACCTCTATTAAATACCCTATAATAAATTCAAAGTTATTATAGTAGGGGCATTTTTGAAAAAAAGATAATGATTACACCTCAAAAGATTAAAAATACTTTACACACTTTTTAATAACTAATCTTCAAAAAATATTTATATTTTTAAACGGAGGTAGTATGTAATAACAACAATAATATTTAATGTTATTGTAGCTAATACAATTATAATAACAATAATCATTATTACTATAATTAAATCAATACAATAATTATTATTGCGAAAATTATTTAACATTACATCAAATAATTTACAACTAAGTAATAATACATTAAAAACTCTTAGGTGGTGTTTCTTTGTTTAATAAAATATACTTCAAATTCTATACTTACAAAATATAAATACTAGGAAAAAAATCTATAACTTCAAATAAAATAATTAATAACCAAATAATAAAAACCGAAAACCACATAGGTATAAATTTATTTAAATAAAATATTTTTAAATACAATATTTAACATAAAATGATTACTACAAAAATGTAAAAATTTAAATAAAATAATTATTAATTTAATAAAATATATTAAAACCCTTAAGTAGCATTTTTTCAAGCAGTAAACTTCATATAATATTAATTTAATAAAATATTTATTATAAAATTATTTTTTTAAAAAATATATCTTTAAGTAAAATAATTAATTATGAAATAAAATAAATAAAAATTATTAGGTGGTTTCGTCAAGCTGAAAACACCATCTAAGATTAATTTTATAATTATTATTATAAGATAATTATTGAAAAATGAAATCATTATGTCGCGTCTCCTGCTTAAAATGAAATATTTATTAGATATTATATTCACTATAAAATAATTATTGAAAAATCTCGTTAAATAAAATAAATGAAAACTATTAGGTGGTGTTTTTTGAGGAAATGCCACCTAAGATTAATTAAGTAAAGTACTTATTGAAAAATATACATTCAATGAAATAAATGAAAATTATTAGGTGGTGTTTTCTCAAAGGAAATGGCACCTAAGATTAATTAAGTAAAATAGTTATTAGATATTATATTATTATAAACTAATTGTAAAAAATATGTCTTAAAATAAAATAAATGAAAACCATTAGGTGACTTCCATCTAAAATTAATAAAATAGAATATTTATAAATCTTATATTTATTATAAAATAATTTTTGAATTTTTTAATTAAAAAATTAATTATCAAATAAAAATAAATTAAAACTTTTAAGTGACGTTTCTTCATACAAGAAATATCACCTAAGGTTAATTAAATAAAATACTTAGGAATGTTGTTGACAGTAGGTGTGTGGGACATAATTAAGTGTAAGTGGGAACCTCCAACAGGCAAATAGATATAAATTAATGTTGATGGAGCTAGGGGTGTTCACAGGACGGGATGAAATTGGGACACCTTTGTCTTATGTTTCATACAAAAAAAAAGACCAGAACTAAATGTTGCTCTGGCTCTGTGTCCTATCTTGTCCTAATAAATCGGACCATGTCGAAGAAAGATCTGTATAATAACATTCATTAAAATTTTAAATCATTAATTTATTAAGTTTAAAATCAAAACAACACAAGTACATAAATTATAGCAATTTAAAGTCAATTATTGAATTATATTAATCACACTACACATTATGATGGCAATTACAAGTTATCTCTAGGTTATAAGAGCAACAATAATATGCAAGCCAAGCACAATATCAAATCATTATTCTTCTACTTTAGTTGAGATATATTAAGTTAATTACTCTTTTAAAAATAAAATAAGAAATATGATATTAATAAAAGTTATTAAATAGATAGACATAACAATAAATTATATAATATAATTAATATATTATAAAGGAAGATATTGCCTTTGTTCACTTTATGTCATTAAACTATTAATATAAAAAACTTTAGTTTTATATAAGAATTTTAAGTATTGAAATTATAGTTGATATACTTAATATAAATATAAATTTATATTAATATAATCAATATATTTAATATATATTTTTAAAATAAAAATAATATATATAATTTTTGGAACGGGACGAGACGTCTCGATGGTAATTCTATGTCTTGTCCTGTCCTGAATCCCTTTCTTGTCCCGTCTTGCAAGTCCTGTCATGATTCTTTTCGAGCCAAGGCGAGACAGGTCTTGATGTAATCGAGATGACATCGGGCTAATGAGAAATGGGTATAAGCTGAGCATCACTGAATGAAGCAGTGACGCAAAAACTCTAGAGATGGAGCTTGTGGAGGAGTAATGAGAGACAAATGCAGAACATGAGTAGCCAAATTTCACCAATTTTTAAGTATCCGTACACCTAGTGAAGCTGAGGAATGGGCCATTTTCAGGGGATTGTAACAGCTTGGACTTTGGGTTTCAAATATGTGATTCTTGAAAACAGATTCAAAATCAACATTAGATACTCTTAGTCATTTTAAGAGTAAAGGGAGAACTGCTAGTTCAGTATTAGCAAGAATCAAAAGCTTCTAAAGAATTGGCAACTAAAATTTCAACGCATCCCAATAGAAATTAATAGAGC